AAGACTTCTACGTGCCAGGGAGGATCCCGACGGACGGCCGAGGGAGAAGAGCGATTAAAGACAGATAGAGAAGCCGCTAACTATCGCTGACTAAACTGCTATCCATACTGTTCGACCCAACGCTCCAAGCGTTTTGATGAGCTGTAGATTAGCTGTCCACTTTTGTCGCACATAGTCTCGCTAATATCAAGTCTCCTGATGCGCGTTTCCTGTATCAGACGGAATAACTTCCAATGGCTACCAACGACGGTGGCCATTTCGATTTCCGATGCACGATGAGACTACTAGGCTTCGCGGTCTCTCTTCAGATTAGCACGCAGTTTCGCCTTGAGGTCGATGTAAATATCGGTGTGTTCGCTCCCAGGTGGAATGTGTCGGCGGGTATCGAGAAATTCCAAAGACTGCATAGAGACCCAATGTCCAAGTTGGTAACTTGATGTACCACATGAGGACGTGCCTGCTGCCAATAACGTCTGGTGGACATGTGACCAGTGGCTCTCCGCTGTGTTAAATGAGCGCTTACTCAGCTCGGATGTTAGCGTACTTTGACACGTAATTAGAGCAACAGGCTTCACCAGTGGGCGGGCGTTTATGCGCTCGCAGCGCCGACGCATGCATCTACCGAAGCGAACTCTAAGATCAGCACGAACGAGTGTGTGGTTGAGGTCCACGCTAGTGCGCCCAATCGAGCAACAGTTTTGGGCACAGCCTCTCCAACGATAACTTATCGCGATGTGAATGATTTGCGTCGATGACTGGTCTGAGGCTCGTGGGCACCATGTCACCCTCCGGTGGGTGATGTGTCGGAAGCTAGTGCTCGTGAGAAATAGACGAACATCCTCACACAGATGTAGCAACCGCTCACAGTTATCGTTACGGTAGCCTACATCAGGTTGATCGCCCAGATGCAGCCCACTAGTGGCCAGTTTACCAACTCGGGCGTTCAGATCACCAGCCACCATCACAATAGTCGTAGTTTTCCTGTAACGAAGTAGCACGTTGAGTTAGCGATGGAAGTCATTCTTCACCGAGCCAGCGATACAGTTTGTAGGCGCGTAGACCGCAATGATAACCAGACACCGTTTGTCCCCGTTCGACGTCAAAGCTTTGAACGAGCCAGCCAATTTGACAGTGCACATCCGGCTGTTCATATATATATATATATATATATATATATATATATATATATATATATATATATATATATATATATATATATATATATCACGGGAGAGCCCATGGTGCGCTGAGGCTGGTGGTCGCTAGATCCTGACAGATGGCCTACCCACTGATACTACTGTTGTGTCATGGGCTCATGTCCTGGACGCCTACTCGTGGCGACCGCTGGGTGAGAGTTGGGTTCCGCCCTTCTCCCCGTTAACATCCAGGACACAAATCCGCATGAGGAAGTGAACTGACCATGTGTTAGACCCGCTGTCTTTCGGGTGTACATTTAATCGAAAGCTTTGGCTGATGACTCGAGTCGTTCTCCTATCAGGTGTGGGCGCCCTGCCAGTATCCTATTCCAAACCCCATGCTCTTCGGATGTAAGAAGTGGTCAATGCCCCCCCCCCCCAGTAAAACAGCCATGGGAGAAAACAAGCCCAGAGCTCGATTGGCGTAGAGCACGAGCGCCACGCATTGTCTCTGACGGTGGGAGGGCACCTCCGGGTGTTCAATGCTTTGCTACTGCCCGCCTCAAGCCAAGCAGCCCCTGATCAAATAGGTGCAAACACACTAAAACACTCTTGCGTCTGGCCGTGGTCGCAAGTGCGTATCCTACTACGGTCGCAAAACATATACTAATTAATTGTTCCAGTACCTGGAAGGTTGCGTGTGACGGCCGACAAGCAGATCTGTCTCTGCAATCACATTTCCGAGCCGGATCTGCTTCTCACTGAAATGTGAGTTAGGCTATTGAGCAAATGTTCCAGGCGGATTCCCTCAAGCAAACCTACAAATCAGCCACTGCCTTGTTGGTCAGACTATTGAACTAAAAGCTCCGGGTAGACTCCCACAAGCAAACCTCCGAAGCACAACCGCCATCTCGATTGCTATTGCCCACCAATGCAATGGTATGATGCGCGCAAAGCACTCAGCATGGGATGCTGGAACGTGTGCACACTACTGGATCGGAACTCGAGTGAGCGCCTCCGAGTGACGCACTGCACTGATCGCAGTGGAACTGGCGCGCTACCACATCGACATTGCAGCGCTCAGTGAGATCCGACTTGCTGATCAAGGTAAGTTGCATGAAGCAGGTGCAGGCTACACATTCTACTGAGTGGGCAACGCCACCTCAGCACCACATGAACATGGGGTCGGATTTGCAATATCCGATCGACTCCATGCCCAGCTGGTGGGTGAACCAACAGGCATCAGCGCGCGACTGATGACTACTCGCCTACAATTCGGAAGAGGTAAATTTGCCACTTTTAAAAGCACCTACCATGTGTTATCCTGATGACATGCGTGATCAATTCTACACTCAGCTATCCTCCGTGATACGGTCTGTGCCGAGGAGCGACCGACCATTTCTGCTGGGTGACTTCAACGCGGGCGTTGGGCGTAATGCATCAGGGTGGACACATGTCATCGGTCCGCATGGCATTGGTTCAGCGAATGCGGAAGGTGACAGGCTGCTCTCACTGTGTGCCACTCACGGCCTGACGAGCGCGAACACACGCTTTGCAAAGTGCAAGTGATACAGCAACTTGGATGCACCCACGGAGTTGTCAAGCACACCTGTCCCACCATGTCACTGTACGTCAGCGTGAAGTGCGCATGACACGTGTAGTGTGGAGCTGAGTGTGGCAGTGATCACCAATTGGTGTGGACCAAACTGTACATATATCTTCGTAAATCTATGCATTGCACACCCGTGGTAAATCGGCGTCCATTTAACATTCTCTCCCTCAGTACTGTGGCGAAAGTATTTAGCTGGAGTAGGCGATGGATGCGCGACTGTGTGATGTGAAATGCATAGCCACAGTGGGCGACCTGTGGCACGACATTCGCGACCAGATGATAGCTGCTGCCGATGAGACCATCCGGCACGTAAAATGTAGGCGGCCTGATTGGTTTGATGACAACAATGCGACGACTGGCACATTGGTGTAGAAGAAGAGTGCAACAGTTGATACACATGCGGCAGACCCCAGTGACTTGGGGAAGAAGAGCAAGTTTCGCAAACTTCAACGGCGACTGACCCGAGAGCTCCGTCGCATTAAAAATGCATGGTGGAGGGAGAAGGCGAAGCAGATGGAATGTTATGCCGAACGCCGCCAACACAAGGAATTCTATGACTCCTTGAAGGCTGTGTATGGACTGAGGTGGGAGGACGCTTATCGATGGTAAGGTGCTACCTGCACACAGAGTGCAGATCTAGCGGAAACACTGACTGTTTCTTGAACAACCGCTCCTAGATCGACTGGCTTAATTTGAATGGCCTGAAAAAGCGCGAGGTGAAAGCGAGTCTGGCGGACACGCCGACACTGGATGAGACGCAGAGAGCACTTGCTCAGCTGCGAAACGGCAAGTGTGCCGGTGCCGACGGCATCCCGCATGAAATATTGAAACACGGCGGACCTGCGTAGTACCACTTCGTGCAACGCGTGTGGATTAAGGTGCCTGCTGAACTGAAGGATGCACTTGTGTTACCACTGTACAAGGGTAAAGGAAGAAAGCCATGTGACACGAAGTATTGTGGTACCAAGTTGCTGAGTTGTGTGGGCAAGGTGACTGCCCAAATCCTGCTCAACCGTCTCGTCAGTCAGGTTGTGGAACCTAACGTGGCGGAAGAGCAGTGTGCATTCCGTTCGGGTCGCAGCACTATAGATATGGTGTCTGCGGCTCGACAGTTGCAGGACAAGTGTAGAGAAAGACACCAGCCCTTGTACGCGCTTTTTATTGATTTCACCAAAGCCGCTGAGGTTGGTTATCATCGTAAGTTATTTCGTCTGATACGGGAAACCGGCAGCAGCAAACTTGGTGTTAGCGAGACCATACGCGAAGACAGTGGGTAGCAGATCCACATCTTGTCAAAACGGTTAGAGCACTGGGCCGAACATATTGCAAGGCAGTTTAACAAATTTGGGTTCACTTTTTTTCGAGCATTGAATGCCCTTCGGCCTGAACCATTAACTTGGATCCGCCTTCACGCGCAGAAGTAGAAAGTGATATCCGACTGCTGAATCTAGCAAAATCTCGAGGTGTTTTGCCAATCTCCGCCACCTGTCGTCGACGCAACATCACTCTCGCTCTGAAGGGCAGAGTTTATAATGCAGTCGTCCATGCAACCCTTCCGTACGGTTGTGAAACCTAGTCCATCCGGTCGACAGACAAAAACGGCTAGTCACCTTCGATCAGCGCTGCCTTCATATACTAGATCATGTTTTCTGGGAGTACCGCGTGAGCAAGGAGCGTGTTAGGCGTCGTGTATTTGGTGCAGGAAGAGCGAGTGAGCAGCTCAGCACCATTGCATCACGCACCAGACTCCGATGGATGGGTCGCATGTTGCGTATGTCAGCACATCGACTCCTGCGTTGTTTGCGCGTCGGGTGTGCAGTTGGAAGAGGGAAGGCCAAGTGGTGACTTGGTCGAGAGAAATGGAATCTCTCATTTCGAACCTGGGTCTGTTAGTTCATTCCGACTGCTTGACTGGGGGTCGAAGGACGATGAACACATTTGGTTGGACACACTTGCTGAGATGGCGAAGTGCAAGTTCCAATGGCGTCTGCGTTGTGGTGATTTTGTCCAGCCCCTTCCCATCACTATCCCGCACGAAATGCATTTTTAACGTTAGATTACTTGCCTTTTGAAGTTTGTAGTGTAATTTTTAGTATATTATTTTTTTTTGTTTTTCGGCATCTTCGCTGAAGTGTGTTTCTCACTCTTAGCTAACGTGTATTGATGATGACTGAGATGCCGTGAGTTCAAAGAGTTTGGGAACAACCGGTTGGCGTTTGTTCGGTAACACTTCGCTTTTGACACAAAAGCTTCGTTAGGCCAGATAATCAGGATGCAAATGGAATGGCATTTCTTGCGAACAAAGTTGACAAGTGCGATAGTAGAGATATGAGGCAGTTTTAATACAGTTACAGGTCGGGATGTCATCTTAAGTTGTGTTGGGCGGCACCTGGGATACTAGTCGGTAGCAATTACACGTTAAAGACGTGCCAAATACGGGAAGGTAGAAAAGTTGAAGACAGCCGGACCCAACATAAATCATACAGGATACAATGAATTGGAAGCGAAGCAGCAAGGGCAAGCAACTGTGTAGCACGGGACTCATCATATCAGATGACGTAAACAGAAGTACAGGCAGGAAAACAAATGAACGTTGAGAAGATTCAAACAACAGTAAAATCCAAGGTTTCAGGTGCACCACAAGAGCCTCTTTCTAGTAGGGATACGAATGGAGACCTTGGATAAAGAGGGTAAGTGAGTATGGGTGCGAAGAGTAACAGATGGGCTTAAGCACGGGACACCAAACAGGGATGTGCAACAGAGTTCATTGGGTCCGGGCTTCTGTTATTTATTATATATGATTTTCGCGTGCACTAGAGTGCATCGTCGATGGGCCGTCGGGGCGGGTTCGTCGGGCTGCAAGTAAGTGGTGTCTAGAAAATGCAGAATAGGACATTTTCTCCACTGTAGACTCGACGGTGCACCTGGGAGGTGTCACTCTCACATCGCACTTCAGTCCACAATCCTCGTCTCGCGAAGAAGTCCGGGCGTCCTCGTTAGCATTGCGTAGCCAGGCGTTTGGGGACCAATCCTGTCGTAGTCGTCCGCGGCCAAAGGCGGTTGGCCGTCGCTTGGGTCAGAGAGGGGACTTGAGTCGGTTGGCGAGTCACTCGAGGGTTGCTTTGGCTCTTCTGATGGTTCAGTTTCTGGAAAACAGGACTCGGAAGGGGTGGGCAAAGGAGGGGCTTGATAAAACCAAACACAACTTTAGGGTTTTTCAAAATGCGGCAAGTACTGTTCGAAACGGTGAATCGCAGGGAAGAAAAGTTGCGAGATGGGCATATTTACCAGTATCGCTTGCCAAATACTATATGACGCTTCGTGCATTCGGGACCCGAAAATCCCCAGGGAACCAACCAACCTCAGTAAAGATTGGAGCACAGCAGGCAGCAAAAATGTCGTTAAATGTTTTGTAACTGGTGGGGATATCACGTGGGCAAGTTTGTGCGCACGCATATCGGATGCTATGAAACTTGTGGATGGTTGAGCTTTAATATTCAGGTAAATTGCGACGCACAATCGCTGGAACTGGCGTTACCTTCTGATGTTGCATGTATTTGCGGGCAGGTTGTGAATATTAAATGCAACAATGAGGATTACGAAAGATCACGAACTGCGTCGGACTTCGGAAACAAATTTATGTTCACGTTTGGTGCTGCCCGAACTGAATGGTCTGCAAGGAAGCCAATGTTTCGTTTCTTCTGTGCCCTATTAAAGTCTTATAACTGGGTTATAGACTCCACTGGGCAAATGAGGGCAAGTTGCCCACCCAAGAGCCTGTTCGATATGTAGCATTTTGGTAACTGATCTAACCTGCATAAGCATCACCTTATCTTCCGGTCATATATTTCTCTGCCTTAATTCCCCTAACATGGTCAACCTCTACAATGTTACAGATAGAGTTGTGTTATCTCACGCTTCAAAATCGCACATATTTTACAATCAAAGTTGTCACTATCATAATGTAATCTCTATGATGCATTTGTCTGGGCTCACTTTAGTATTCTCCGTGGACACTCGTCACTCAGAAAACAACCCCGGTGAAGAAATAGGGAGCATTACCGTCTCTATTCACTGCCTGGCTGCACTGGAAGCAATTAAAAAGGAGATGCAAGAATTAACAGTTGCAACTGCTTGAGCGTTCGAACGTATGTTATTTCTATTTGATGAATTGCAATTTGATACGAATTTTAAAATATAAAACCCATAACTGCAACTTTCTTCACTTTTGGGGACGACAAAAATATAACAAAGCAGAACGGTCGTGATCAGTTCAGGTCCAAGGTGTAAATATAAAGAAGTAGGTAGAAATGGGGACAGTTAAAAGTGGAGCTAGGAACAGGGACGATTGGCCAACATGAGAGGACAGCTTGTTAGCCATCAGTGATGTTTGATCACCTTCCATGTCAACATCGTTTGTGTGTCCGACCCAGATCAAACACCTCGTCTTCGAGACGTTACCCCCAACTTCAACTGACACTACACGCTAAAAAAGCAGTTATGACCCTAGCTAAACCATGGTGAGATCGGACGGTAATGAGTCAGCAAGAGAAGCAGCTCAGGGAGCTAATCTTCCCCTCCGAAAGTTGGAAACGCACATGGTAATGGAAGATGAGCATAGGCGTTGTATCCCAGTTTCTTACCGAGCCACAGTGATTGACATTCACTCCCCGTGGTCTTGAAAGCCGACTGGCAAGAGTAGACTGATGGTTATAACTCCATAAGTGACATATCGAACGTGCACTTCAAATGAATCCCGAACGGATGAGAGTCGCTCAACGCTTTTCCGGATGCGCAATGGCTGGTCGACTGATTACAAGTAACTGGGAATGCACAGAATAGGGAAGATCTGGCAGAGTGCGTAACAGGTGGGGGCGTGAAACAGTCGTGCTACAGCGGCTCTAAGTGAATACCAGGGCGGATGAAATCAAAAACGATTATCAATCGAATACGACAAACGCACGCTGAGTACGAGGATAATTATCGCACAAGGCTACTGCAATCCGCGGGGATAACTAGGACTTAATATCATGGCTCAAGTGGAACAAAACCTCTATACGCTAATGATGGGTGCGAGGCCACAAAAGTGTAAAACATAGATGAAGACTTTGAACACTCTCCTTTGATACAGAAGACAAAACAAGTAGGATTATTTCATCCCGAGAAGAAAAGGGGGTAGTTCGTAAACACGACAGAAAACTGGATGCACACTTGGCAGCTGTATGGTAGTAAGAAAAGTGGAGGGAGAAATCGAAAGGTAGAGAAAATCGAAGGTAGTTCGTTCATAAGCCGCATAACACGTTAATTAAGACACTGCGTTCCAGTAAGATCTAGGAATATAAACATATGCATAATTGCAGAATGGGCAAACTTCAAAGTCGAGAAACCAGCACGGCATAAACAACGCACAGATCATCAGTGAGAATACCAGAAATGTTGCTTCACAAAACTAAGCGATCGAAAAGACGAAAAGAAAACATGAAAGTGAAGGAAGCAGGTGAGAAAATCTGAATCAAACTGGATCCGACAAGACAAAATGAGAAGATTCGTAAAACTGGCTTAGGCCATTTACATGGCGCAATAGGGTGATGGACGATAATGATAAAAGGAATCTTCGTCAGTGGAGTCTCCAGACGAAAGTCGGTTAGATGGATCCGAGTCTGACTCTGAATGACTCTCTTCCTCATCTGGGTAGTCATTTCGCCAGTTCGACTCGCTGTTAGAATCGTCCTCGTCCTCCACGTTCCAATCAATATTGCCCTCTTCATCTGCATAATCAAAGACTATTTCATTCTCAGGAAACCATAAACCAGGCCCCTCCGAATCGGAATGACTCGAAGAATGAGATGGCTTATGCTTCTCCAAACGGTAAAAATCGTATACGAAATCCAATTCGGTAGAAGCCGATGGACGTTTGTTCTCTGATGCATTCAAGTGAATGGAATCCGGACGGAAAGAAAACGGATCATCAGCTCCATGTGGAACGATATCGATAACTCGGAACATTTTGCATGGGAGTGGCTTTTCATCCTCGAGTAACGAATGAGCATTCGATGCTACACGTTTCAATGTCTTGACCTGAACCTTGATAAGAGAAAGTTGGAGAGCAGAGGGTGTAAATGACACACAATGTAACATATCTGCAGTGAAAGTCGACCACAGATGAGTGGCTCTATCAGATTTGTTCTTGACTGACCCATGAATACATGATCCCAGTCCAGTCTCGAGTCAGAGATAACTTGGTGCGTTTATGCTTTATGTCAACCGGACTGAACCGGTAACCCAGAAACTAATATCTACGATCGTAGCTGACTTCTGTTCAACGTCTCGTGAGAATAATACATGGTCCGAGTTTATAGGTGTTCGAAATACTGAGCAACTTGTTAAGACTGATCCTAAGTTAATTTGAAAGTGACGCCAGGTCTAGTCCGATGGAGCACAGAGGCAAACAAACTATTGTCCCACATCAAAATTTAGTTGCATTTTGATTAGTGTGCTTAGAAGCATCGTGGTTGCAGCGACATCAACGGAATACAGGTCACATCTTTCTCACAGAGAACAAACTCAATCTGTTTGGCTAACTGAAGTAATTCATATATCAAAACGAACTGACCCAATAATTACCTTTCATCGGCGTTCCAGTCTCCGGTTCGTAGCATACTAACCGGTGGAAGAAGGAGGCATAACTATGCAAAAATTTTAGTCGGCTTTATTTGAAATACAAGGTGTCTGCTATCCCCAAATGTGTTTAACAAAGCACTGGTAACCGTGAAAAATGTCATAAAATAAAGCAAGCACATAGAAGGAAGTGTACCAGAGGATCATCAAGGTTACATCCACACAATGACGCACGTGGATATGAAAAGAACCACTTAAAGCATAGCTTCGTCTTGTACTTGAAAAAAGCCTAGGAAAATGGTGGGATTGACCTTAGCAGTAGCTTCGAAGTGCTCAGTCACAAGAACACCATGTATACAGAAAAGTGAGAAAAAAACGTTGATACTAATAGTGCGGTAGTTAAAAACAGGCTCACCTGTGAAATGTAATGGCATGACACTTGCTTAAGTGAACTGGTGAGCAACGAACGTGCTAAGGTAGTGATGAGGCTATTGTTAATACAAGATACCGGCTGAAGAAATCATAAGCACTGGTAACTGAAAAAGCATTATACCAATTAGAACTTATTCATGTGTAGAAAGCAGCGATCACCTAGCAAATACGCATTTGAATACTGAGACTAGAATAGTGCATACAGGAGAAATTGTTCCGTCTCACAGCTGCTAAGAGCCAAAAGTCGACCATGTAGGTTGTCACCGACCGCGGCTCAACAATACCTATGATGTGGTTGTAAAGCGAAGCGAGCAAAATGAAGGGAAGACAACCATCAAACGGTTACTTGATGCTCTGGCTATCGCACTGGATAATCAACGACGTCATGTCTGCTGCATCGAACGGTGTGGATAGGGGTAATGGTACAACAGCTCACACCTCCTCGTCTTCTTATCCCTCATCATACGCTTTGTCACCCCGACCTAACTGCGCTCTTATCACCCTACTTTCGACCCTACTTCAATTTGCTTTGATAAGCCTCTCTTGTCTCTTTCCAACTCAAATGTAATCGAACACTATCGTTTCTGCTCTGTCGATAAGCACGCGGGCAACCATAAGTGCAACTTGTTTTCATTTGGGGACCTCAATCTTTGTTTTAGGTAGCACTTATCCGACCGATGTCTGCGGCTTCCTGGAAATCCAACAGCAAAAACAGGGCTATGTGCTCACTCCACTATCTCCTTCAATTTGTATTGGCCATACTCTCCAGTTCCATCTATCCAGAGGTAACGCAGCTTCAACTGTCGATCAATCCGGTGTCGTTATTGCGAAGAACCCCTGGGAAGTACCTCTTATAGCTGACTGGGTGTCAATCGGTAAGCGAATATGCACAGTTAGATCCGTTGGCTCACTCAAAATTCAGAAGTCGCGCGGGGATAGTAGGTGCCAGTCCGTCACTACTGCCAACATTCACAAACTGTAGGGTTGAGAGATGACTTCTAAAGAAAAATAAACGAACTACTTCGTCATACATTAACCTCATTATCAGCAACAGCGGTACAAAAGCTGATGGAACTGATGCTTTGCTGCTGTACAACCACAATGACATAAGAAATGAAAAATAGTAAGAGGGGGAAATAGAGACCTAGTGTAAAATCTGAACGACCTGAGCAAATATGGACTCAAGGCGGCTACACTTTGTCAACATATAGTCACAAACAACCGGCTATCGTGCAAAGGAAAACGGCATCAGAGTGAGCGTGTCCCTGTGACCTTCACTGCCCCGCGCCATAACAGACCATTACCCCACAGATAACATCAAACACACTTAAACAGGCAGTCCGACTAGGGGACGACAGGAAACGCGTCAATAGTGCTGACTGCGAGCCATGTCCTGTAACGTCTCGAGGCAAGCACAAGGTGAGTCACGTGGACGCCGGCCTGCAAGGCGAGATGGACTGATGGCACCAAGGTTGTTCGTCAATGACTTTGTTTGCCGCTACCAAGTTAACTTTCGCCTTCCCAAAGCCCCCACCATCCAATAACCAGTAAACAAGAAAAGGCACTACTCAAAAAGTCGTGACTAGACATACGGATGACCTTCCCAAGTCAACGTGACTTATTCAATGTCATTTGTTGGTCCAGAGAACTGACCTGGCCATGCACCCTTGGTATTCGCCTACGTACATCACCGTTGCTGATGTGTTGGTACAATGAGACACTAGTAATGCTCAATAGACGACAATGATCCACGACTTGAAAGCGCTTCAGATCGTCAAACCGAGGGCGCAAAGTCCCACTATCACAAACTAGGACAGCGCGCACTGTGACCCAGTACACGCGACTTTAAAGACCGACGGAAAGCTCATTCTGACGCCACATATGCTGTAGACTCAAAGCAGTCTTAGCTTTCGCAACAAATAAAATAACTTCACCAACCACCCGCATATCGCTGTTAAAGCAGCTGCCGATATAAGTGATTTGGTCAGCTACTTCTAGCTCTCATCTTTAGGAGCCAAGTGGTCATTAACTGGGTGATGGTCTACCAACCGAACTACACAGCATATACCAAAAGATGACAAGGCTTTCAAAGGTTATCGTGCTCCACGATTATTTTCTGTAAAAATACTAGCACACTCTTTTGGGGTTTTCAGTGAAGGTCCTGCTTCACTCATCATACATTTTCCCGTAACTAACATCAAACAAACCAATATGTGCAATAGTTTAAAAATGCAATAAGTGTCCGCGCTCCAGCTGTGCACTTGCAAACGGCAATGTCATAAGAAATCATCTGAAAAAATTACAAGAAGCAAAGGAAAACACCGCATTGGGTGGAAAGTTGCACTTCAGGAGAAAAAATTAGAAGCATGGTGATACCTATATTACTTATTGGCAAGTTCCGTCTGCTCTTAGGGAAATGAGAACAGTAACTAGTGATAAAGATACCGAAAATATTCGCAACTAGGTATCATTTCGCTGCAAGAAGACTTGGTTCACGATGCATTTGTATCGATCGAATAGTCTGTGTCATCCGGTCTACCGCAGCATCATCATCATTACACATTAGCTGAAGACAAGAAATACACGTCAAGCATGGTGCCGCAATACAAAAAGATAAGATAGAAGAAAAAGCAATATCCTAAACATTATAGCACGCAAAAGGTAACACCCTATCTAGTTAGTAGTATACATCCAAAGAGACATCGTGGTTGGAGGGAGACAATAAAGTAGATGGAGGGGACAAAGAAACTCACAACACAAACGCCATTGGGACTTGCACTTCGCCATATCAGCAAGGGTGTCCAACCAAATGTGTTCATCGTCCTTCGACCCCCAGTCAAGCAGTCGGAATGAACTAACAGACCCAGGTTCGAAATGAGAGACTTCATTTCTCTCGACCAAGTCACCACTTGGCCTTTCCTCTTCCAACTGCACATCCGACGCGCAAACAACGCACGTCGCAGGAGTCGATGTGCTGACATACGCAACATGTGATCCATCCATCGGAGTCTGATGCGTGATGCAATGGTGCTGAGCGGCTCACTCGCTCTTCCTGCACCAAATACACGACGCCTAACACGCTCCTTGCTCAAGCGGTACTCCCAGAAAACAAGAGCTAAGATACGAAGGCAGCGATGATCGAAGGTGACTAGCCGTTTTTGTCTGTCGACCGGATGGACCAGGTTTTACGACCGTACAGAAGGGTTGCATGGACGACTGCATTATAAACTCTGCTCTTCAGAGCGAGAGTGATGTTCCGTCGACGACAGGTGGCGGAGATTGGCAAAACACCTCGAGATTTTGCTATATGGTTGGTGAGCTCATCTTCGATCCCACGGATGCTAATACTAAGGTACTTGAATTCCTGAACGACTTCTACCTGACCACCACCAAGAGTCTACGCAGGAGTGGGTCCCTGCCAATCTTGCAGAAGGACTTTGCATTTCGATGGAGCAAAGCATAGCACAAAACCATTGACAGCTAGTGCTAATCGATCCAGTGCAGCTTGACAAGTTTGGGAACTGTCACAGTTAAGAGTGATATCATTCGTAGATTCCTAGAGAAAAAGTCGCTCAAAATGAAGTAGGTCCATCTCTTCTAGGTCATGTCCAGCGAACGCTGTTTCCATGGCCTCAAAAATGGCAAAGTTAAACAGGAAAGATGACCGAGTGCAAAGTTGTCCCACACTGCTGGAGAAATTGAAGGGCAGTGACAGTTAGCCATAAGCCCTCACTCTGCCCGAGTTACGCGCGTGCAGCTTCCTGATAATGTTTACATATTTTCCGCACGCACCTTTCCTCAGCAGACAGTCCCAAATGGTACATCGATCCACCGAGTTGAAGGCAACTTTGATGTCGAAAAACAGGACAACGATGAGTCGCCAAAGAACATGCGATGCTAAGGCAATTGACGCAAAGTCGAGGTGTGGTCGATGCAACCCTGACCTCGACGAAACCCGGTTTGCTCTTCACGAATCTGAGTTTCACGAGTGCCAGTCACCTTACGGATAACAACAGACGCAAGCAATTTAGAAT